GTATATATTATCTAAAGGTAATGTCAGTACTTTTCAGACTGATGTTAGTGACTCTGAACCTCATGTTGGTAGCTTTCTTTCTTTCTTTGTTTATAATAAATACATGTATTTACCTCTTGTCTTTTGTCCCGGCAAAGAGCCAGACCACGACACTACGTTTTTATATTTTACTGAATTTTTCTTTGTTTCAAATAATTAAATTTCTAGTCAATTCTTTTTTCAATATTAATAACATATATTTGACTGATTTCTTTCCCTGTAAATGTTTTCAATTAATTATTCTTATAATTTACTTTATGACATTATTAAATAGAGGTTAGTGAATATTTATTATATAGTATACTTATGTTACTTTTAAAGTTTTAGTTTTATATTTTGTGATGTCTTCTATACTATATGTATGTTCAGGCAAGGCAAGTTTATTGATATAGCACCTTTCAACACAAGGCAATTCAAGGTGCTTTATAAAAATGAAAACATTCAGACAAAGGCATTTAAAAACAGTCATTAAAAAGAAAAGATAATAAAATAAACATTAAAAGAAAAAATACATGAATAAAAAGTACATGAATAAAAAATACATGAATAAAAAATACATGAATAAAAAGTACATGAATAAAAAGTTACAGTGCAGTTTAAGATATGAATAGTTCACACAGAAGTTCCACTTTACTGATGCCTTTCTTTAAGGTTTCTCCGAACATGAGCTGTGTACGCTTGTATGGCACATACGTCCCGAGCAGCATACACAGAGAACACCAGCCAGGACAAAGTCCCCAGACCCTGATCCCCTGGGGTTACTAGCCCCAAATGTTCAGTATGTATATTGTATTTTTATATATTTATACACAGATCTTGAATGAGTCTTCTTCCATCTTATACGAGTGTACAGTATTTTTATATATTTATTGTATTTTTATATGCAGATCTTTAATGTGAAAATAACAAACTTTTGACACATCCAACAAAGAAAACAGGTTTTTACAAAAGTCAAAACAAAAACTAAAGATGAAAAACTCAAATAAAATAATAAACATCTTCAGTGGTCTTTCTTTCTTTTTAGGCTTTTGTAATTTTAACGGGAAACGGCAACAAACGGTTAAAAACGGTGCCTCGATGGCGTCTTTCCGACAGGTTGCCCATCTCTGTCTCTTTAGACATTTAAACTTTTTCATACCAAGGACCACTTAACCAATAAAAGAACACACACAGACCACCTGACTCCCCAAATATCCAGAAACAAAACAGCCTACCCTTCTCTACATCGCCTCGTTCACACATTAAATCAACAATTCAAATACAACTACAGATTATAAGCCTTTCGTCCAAATGCGATTTTAAATGCTCTCAGGTTTTACACCTCAAAAATACAGTAAACTATGGTCGCAGGCCCAAGTCTAACTCTCTGAGCCCTTTTTTCACATGTTAGGCTCGCCTGGGCTTTTTTTGTAAAAATGCTATTAAAACATGAACCTTTGTGACCATCGGGCTGGCCTGCATGGTCTGCCCCAACAGCAGCCTCTGATCATCAACAGACTTCATGCAATGCTTCATCGGATGCATATATTAGATAATAATCTCTATCTCACTCCTAACATCTAAATCTACTTCCACCATGGATAAATGTTCATAAAATACATCCATTGTTTGTTTTATATGCTTCTTGAAATAAAAAATAAAAACACAGTTTTTCTAGAAATCACCTGGAAATGGTACAATGACCAATTACAGGGACATTCTCCCTGGAGTAACTAAGGGCTAAGTGCCTTACTCAAGGGCACACTAGTGGTGATGTTCCTGGCGGGATTTGAACTCACAACCTTCCGATCTTCAGCCCACCTCACTATCCATTAGACCACCACTATCCCAACATGTGTGATGAAGGTGTGGTGCTGGGCTATATCATGCAATCGAAAGTGAAAGTTAAGCTCGCTCCATTGCTGAGATATTCCCGCGAGAGTGCGGAGAAATTAAATAAATAAATGTATTTCAAATGTGGAATTTTACCAATATTCTCACAGACCACTGCTTTAGAGGAGGCACTATGGGAATTGTAGTTCTTTATACGGTCTTGACTACAGACGTCACGATTAGGTGGCCATTTTTGTAATTCTAAATACTGTCTCTAACATTTGATTGGACATGAATTAACCCGGCGTGATAAACACAAACCAAGAGCTGAACACATTTATTCTTCTCTTTCTGACTTTGTCCTCAAAGACTTTGAGAGCGTCTCCAAGAGAACCAGTGCTTTGATTACAGGGAGAACGTCATCCCACCAAACTCAGGATTATAGGATGTCTGTGGACCCTTGTTGAGATGGACACGGGTCAACAGGTAACCCTCTGGGACCTGGAAGAGAAACAGGGAAATACTTTGGTTATAAAACCTGTAGATAGTAGACGGGCTTTTTCAACTGATAGAGGAGAGTATTTGTTCAACTGGATCAATACTGTCTGATCAATACTCAGTGTTTCCTCTACGATGCGCCGTCCCAAAAGAACCCGGCTCATATATATTATTCTGAAAGGACCAATCTGCACAATGACTACTTTTACTGTCGCTACTTTCACTATATTTTGATGATAATACTTTTCTACTTTTACTTGAGGAACATTTTGAATGCAGGACTTTTACTGTAACAGAGTATTCCTACACTCTGGTACTTCTACTTTTACTCAAGTACAAGATCTGAGTACTTCTACTTTTACTCAAGTACATGATCTGAGTACTTCTACTTTTACTCAAGTACATGATCTGAGTACTTCTACTTTTACTCAAGTACATGATCTGAGTACTTCTACTTTACTCAAGTACAAGACCTGAGTACTTCTACTTTTACTCAAGTAAAGTAATAGAAGTACTCAGATCTTGTGATCTGAGTACTCCTACTTTTACTCAAGTACAAGATCTGAGTACTTCTACTTTTACTCAAGCACAAGATCTGAGTACTTCTACTTTTACTCAAGTACAAGATCTGAGTACTTCTACTTTTACTCAAGTACAAGATCTGAGTACTTCTACTTTTACTGAAGTACAAGACCTGAGTACTTCTACTTTTACTTTTTTTTTTTACTTAGTCATTACATACAGTCTTTAATGAACTATTAGTAGAGAATAATGACGAGTAAAGAATATACTTTATAGGGATCCTATTCATATCTAATAATAAGAACATTTTTTACCCACTTATGGAAGCTTGGGGTAGAAATACAAAAACTACAATTTCTTAAAATGTATAACATTTAAATTTAAAATGTGAATGGCATGATATCCAAAACATGTTTTTTGAGGAATAGCTGGAATATGAAATGATGACAATTTTTAATTACAAAGATACTTCAAGAAAACCACCTCACAGGGTCAAAAAAGACCCACTTATGCATCTAAGGGTTAGTCATTATAAAACACTTATTAATGCCTTATTCTACATGACCATATTCTACAAGTAATAAGCCATTAGTTGAGAGGTTTTCCTCAATAACCCTCTCATTAGTGCTTATTGATTGTAAGTAAGGAAGTTGTTGTACATGAGTCTTAATCTGCTCAATATGGGCCTAATAAGGCAGCAGTACCACAAGAATAGTAATTCTCCCATAATAACACTTAACAGATATGATCTATTCTTATGTAACAAGACGTGAAACTATAAGTGTTAATTAAGTCTAAATAACTCAAAATGAGGTGTTTCTATCTAAGAATATGTTTTGGGGTGTTGGCAGTTCAGCTACCAATAGCAAGGTGATATTGACCTGTATGTTTCATATTTATTACATTGTTATTTATTAAAGTTAATATACCAGAAGTCATGTTCAGGTTGGGAGTCACACTTTAGTTTCTGTTGATTTATTTATAATTGGATTTCTTTATAATTTGTGTTTGTGCTATGTTTGAATTCAAAGATGTTTTTTCTGCACATTTTGCAATAACTTGTTGATAAATGAGTGTGTGAACGGTGTGTGTGTAGAAAGCTTCAGAATATAGAGAGGAAGGAATGTGGACGCTTTGGTTTCTGTAAGAGATTTCTGCTGAGAGAGGAGGAGAACAATATCATGGAGATAAAGACATTTGAGACAATTCCAACATTTTAGGAAAACTGTCGAAATAATCAAATATAAAATACGACGAGTAAAGTTTAAATAATAACTAATCTGAGCAATACTCTATGTGATAATAATTAATCTGAGCAATACTCTATGTAATAATAATTAATCTGAGCAATACTCTATGTAATAATAATTAATCTGAGCAATACTCTATGTAATAATAATTAATCTGAGCAATACTCTATGTAATAATAATAACTAATCTGAGCAATACTCTATGTAATAATAATAACTAATCTGAGCAATACTCTATGTAATAATAATAACTAATCTGAGCAATACTCTATGTAATAATAATAACTAATCTGAGCAATACTCTATGTAATAATAATAACTAATCTGAGCAATACTCTATGTAATTATAACTAATCTGAGCAATACTCTATGTAATAATAATTAATCTGAGCAATACTCTATGTAATAATAATAACTAATCTGAGCAATACGCTATGTAATAATAATAACTAATCTAAGCAATACTCTATGTAATAATAATTAATCTGAGCAATACTCTATGTAATTATAACTAATCTAAGCAATACTCTATGTAATAATAATTAATCTGAGCAATACTCTATGTAATTATAATTAATCTGATCAATACTCTATGTAACGGTGGTGACGTGAAGTCATGTGACCGTGCTGTAGTTCCTTGATAGCCCAACATTAGCTTTCTACTTCAGAAATCCTAAAGTGGTGTTAGTATGTGGAGATTATTCTGCTGAACTAAACGTGTAAGAATCAGAAACGTTTGTTTGACACAGAGATGATTTCAATACTAACCTGTTAAAACTAAAGCCTTGAGGTTTAGTTCTCACACAGAAACAAAGCAAACACATCATTTTCCAACCAGGAGAAACACTTTTGAAATCAGCTCACTCTCAGAGTTTCATGGATTATTAAAGAAGTTTTATTATTTTTTTGGTACATAGCAAATGACAGCATTTATTACAGTGATGTTGAACATCGTCATGGTTTCTGGAGGATTCTGCTGTGTTCAGAATTTAAGACGATTTGCTTCATCGTAATCTCATGGAAACCAAATCGGTCAAAACTCTTCATTATAAAATCAAGTAGAATTTGTGATTTAAGCCAGATCATGAAAAATCTTCAAATACAACATTTGTTAAAAAAAGCCACATCTAAAAACCTTAATAGGCGAAAGCTAAATTCTTCAGAAATGCAAAAGATAAGAAAATCAATCAAAATTCTTATGAAGCAAAAACATTTCTCGGTTCCAAAATCACAACACTTGTTTACGGACAATGTTAACATTTTAAGTACGAAATAATTAGTCTCCTGAATTTGGGAAAATCCTAAATCACAAAAATAATCAGAATTCTTTGAAAAAAGTGAAATTCTAAAGAAATTAAAATGTTTCATAAAAGTCCAAAAAGTAATGATTACATATTATTGATCATCTTGTGAAATAAGTCCAATCCTCAATAATACAAAAACAAGCACATCTTGATCACATAACAAAGCACATTACCTTTTAAAAAGGAAACTTCTACAAAATGATGTACATTTTTAATTACAACATGTTAGTATTTAATATCTTATGAATTTGGGAATGCTCTCCAAAAGGTGGAGTTCTTCAAAACAGCTAAATTACTACAACATACAGACAAATACCATCAAAAATGATATAACGTAAGAAAAATCCTGAATGATTGAAAATGATTACAAACTGAGCTCAGTACATGTGAAATAAGAACATTAAAGAAAAGTTACAATCTTATACATTTTGGCAAATTACAAATATAATCGGATTTCTCTAAAAAAGCTTTTTTTTTTTTTACAAACAATCTCTTCAGACCAAAATCAAGCTACATTCTTCTGTAATAACATTTTTCAATAAAACATCAGCATTGTTATGAAATAAGAAGTGTTTGGACTATTTACTTTTGTTGAATTCCTATTTGTATATTGATCAGCTAAATGTGGTCCTGCTGCTGAAATGACCCATGTGACCCACAAGGGGATCAAATATCCTATCTCGCTGATCAGATTAATTGTTGTTAAAAACGTAACATTTTAAAAACTGTACTTTGTCTTATTTGTTGATTGAATATAAAAAAAACCTTGTTGTGCTCGAGGTCTACAAATCCAACACTAGGTGGCGCTGTAACGCGTTCCTCCTGTTATCTCAGGAATCACTACATTAGATTCAAACACTGGGTATTGTAACACTGTTTCTAGAGGATATTTGAACATTAAAATATGGCATTAATTGGCCAACTTAGTTCCTGAGCGGCCTGGGTTGGTGTGTCTGTGGTTTCAAACTGCACCGACTGCATTGACTTTTCATAATAAAACTAACTTGTGATGTTTTTTAAAGATCTTCATCTTCAGTGGGAACCAATGGGCTTGGAGCTGACAGGAAGTCAGGAAACATGAGGCACTCACACATTGCTGGTGACTTTCAGAGTGAAAGCTATATATTTCTAACGTTGGTTAAAAGCTCTAAGAGCTGATAAACCCATGTGTGTGAGAGGAGCTCCTTGGAGCTGCTACTCTGCTCCCTGAGCTCCTTCCTCTTCAGCAGGAACACCCAGGTCATCATAATCCAGCTCAATGTCCTCCTGTCGGCTCGGCCTCCGCCCCCTGGTGGCCTGGAGAGACATGACAGCACACAGTGAGACTTCCTGCATCACTCCTGTTCAATAACACACACTGTTTCAGTCAGTGGAACAACAACATGTTTCAGTCCCTTATCATTCAGTCAGTGGAACAACAACATGTTTCAGTACCTCATCATTCAGTCAGTGGAACAACAACATGTTTCAGTACCTCATCATTCAGTCAGTGGAACAACAACATGTTTCAGTACCTCATCATTCAGTCAGTGGAACAACAACAACACGTTTCAGTACCTCATCATTCAGTCAGTGAAACAACAACATGTTTCAGTACCTCATCATTCAGTCAGTGGAACAACAACATGTTTCAGTCCCTCATCATTCAGTCAGTGGAACAACAACATGTTTCAGTACCTCATCATTCAGTCAGTGGAACAACAACATGTTTCAGTACCTTATCATTCAGTCAGTGGTGGAACAACAACATGTTTCAGTACCTCATCATTCAGTCAGTGGAACAACAACATGTTTCAGTCCCTCATCATTCAGTCAGTGGAACAACAACATGTTTCAGTCCCTTATCATTCAGTCAGTGGTGGAACAACAACATGTTTCAGTACCTCATCATTCAGTCAGTGGAACAACAACATGTTTCAGTCCCTCATCATTCAGTCAGTGGAACAACAACATGTTTCAGTACCTCATCATTCAGTCAGTGGAACAACAACATGTTTCAGTCCCTTATCATTCAGTCAGTGGAACAACAACATGTTTCAGTACCTCATCATTCAGTCAGTGGAACAACAACAACACGTTTCAGTACCTCATCATTCAGTCAGTGGAACAACAACAACATGTTTCAGTACCTCATCATTCAGTCAGTGGAACAACAACATGTTTCAGTCCCTCATCATTCAGTCAGTGGAACAACAACATGTTTCAGTACCTCATCATTCAGTCAGTGGAACAACAACATGTTTCAGTACCTTATCATTCAGTCAGTGGTGGAACAACAACATGTTTCAGTACCTCATCATTCAGTCAGTGGAACAACAACATGTTTCAGTCCCTCACCATTCAGTCAGTGGAACAACAACATGTTTCAGTACCTTATCATTCAGTCAGTGGAACAACAACATGTTTCAGTACCTCATCATTCAGTCAGTGGAACAACAACATGTTTCAGTACCTCATCATTCAGTCAGTGGAACAACAACATGTTTCAGTCCCTCATCATTCAGTCAGTGGAACAACAACATGTTTCAGTCCTTTATCATTCAGTCAGTGGTGGAACAACAACATGTTTCAGTCCCTCATCATTCAGTCAGTGGTGGAACAACAACATGTTTCAGTACCTCATCATTCAGTCAGTGGTGGAACAACATGTTTCAGTACCTCATCATTCAGTCAGTGGAACAACAACATGTTTCAGTCCCTTATCATTCAGTCAGTGGAACAACAACATGTTTCAGTCCCTTATCATTCAGTCAGTGGAACAACAACATGTTTCAGTCCCTTATCATTCAGTCAGTGGAACAACAACATGTTTCAGTCCCTTATCATTCAGTCAGTGGAACAACAACATGTTTCAGTACCTCATCATTCAGTCAGTGGAACAACAACATGTTTCAGTCCCTTATCATTCAGTCAGTGGAACAACAACATGTTTCAGTACCTCATCATTCAGTCAGTGGAACAACAACATGTTTCAGTCCCTCATCATTCAGTCAGTGGTGGAACAACAACATGTTTCAGTACCTCATCATTCAGTCAGTGGAACAACAACATGTTTCAGTCCCTCATCATTCAGTCAGTGGTGGAACAACAACATGTTTCAGTACCTCATCATTCAGTCAGTGGAACAACAACATGTTTCAGTCCCTTATCATTCAGTCAGTGGTGGAACAACAACATGTTTCAGTCCCTCATCATTCAGTCAGTGGAACAACAACATGTTTCAGTCCCTTATCATTCAGTCAGTGGAACAACAACATGTTTCAGTCCCTCATCATTCAGTCAGTGGTGGAACAACAACATGTTTCAGTACCTCATCATTCAGTCAGTGGAACAACAACATGTTTCAGTCCCTTATCATTCAGTCAGTGGAACAACAACATGTTTCAGTACCTCATCATTCAGTCAGTGGAACAACAACATGTTTCAGTCCCTCATAATTCAGTCAGTGGAACAACAACATGTTTCAGTCCCTTATCATTCAGTCAGTGGTGGAACAACAACATGTTTCAGTCCCTCATCATTCAGTCAGTGGTGGAACAACAACATGTTTCAGTCCCTCATCATTCAGTCAGTGGAACAACAACATGTTTCAGTACCTCATCATTCAGTCAGTGGAATAACAACATGTTTCAGTCCCTTATCATTCAGTCAGTGGAACAACAACATGTTGCAGTACCTCATCATTCCATTCAGTGGAACAACAACATGTTTCAGTCCCTTATCATTCAGTCAGTGGAACAACAACATGTTTCAGTACCTTATCATTCAGTCAGTGGAACAACAACATGTTTCAGTCCTTATCATTCAGTCAGTGGTGGAACACAACATGTTCAGTCCCTCTCATTCAGTCAGTGGAACAACAACATGTTTCAGTCCCTTATCATTCAGTCAGTGGACAACAACATGTTTCAGTCCCTCATCATTCAGTCAGTGGTGGAACAACAACATGTTTCAGTACCTCATCATTCAGTCAGTGGAACAACAACATGTTTCAGTCCCTATCATCATTCAGTCAGTGGAACAACAACATGTTTCAGTCCCTCATAATTCAGTCAGTGGAACAACAACATGTTTCAGTACCTCATCATTCAGTCAGTGGAACAACAACATGTTTCAGTCCCTTATCATTCAGTCAGTGGAACAACAACAACATGTTTCAGTACCTTATCATTCAGTCAGTGGAACAACAACAACATGTTTCAGTCCCTCATCATTCAGTCAGTGGTGGAACAACAACATTATTCAGTACCTCACCATTCAGTCAGTGGAACAACAACAACATGTTTCAGTACCTTATCATTCAGTCAGTGGAACAACAACATGTTTCAGTCCCTCATCATTCAGTCAGTGGAACAACAACAACAACATGTTTCCGTACCTCATCATTCAGTCAGTGGAACAACAACAACATGTTTCCGTACCTTGCAGTAGAAGTAAAGGCAGATGGTCACCAGCAGCTGAATCAGCGGCAGGACGACGGCTCGGATGATAAAAGGTTTTGGATCTGATCGAACACATGGACAGAATCACATCAAGAGTCAGCAAACACACAGAGACCTGAACCCACTTCAGCATGGAGACTCCTCTCTACAGTTATATTACAATAAACTACATCTTCTTAAGATCTTCATTCAACCCCAACCCTTTTCCCTGTTCATACCAGACAGTAGGACTGTAGGGAGAAGCTGCTAGCTGTATCTGTTAAACACTCAGTACTCATGGCAATACTCCAATGTAAACTACAGCTGACAGGAGAATGTGTGTTCTGGATTCATGTCTTCACGGTTCATTGCACTTATTGTACGTTGCTCTGGAAAGCTACATGTGATGTAAGGGTGTGACTGCTTCAGGGCTCACAGTAAAACACTCAGTCCTCACCAGCGTTCTCCTGGGGAGCATCACGCTCTGTCCTACAGTAAACTCTAACAGCTCACCTGTGACGGTGATGGAGAGCAGATGGCTCTCAGAGGAGAAGTCCTGAGAAAAAGCAGAGACGTGATAAACACAGCTGTAGCTTCCCTGGTGGGCGGGCTCTGCAGCCGGGAACAGGAAGTGGGGCAGAGTGATTGACAGCTGGCTGGGTGTAGTTGTGAGTGGAGGAGCTGAGCAGGAAGGAGCCTCCTGGGTACTGAGGCTGGATGGAGCAACTGATGGTGAAGGTGAAGCCTCTGAACACCTGGAACCCTGCTGCTGGGGCCCCGGAGACCCCGTACATGGAGGAGGACACAGAGATGTTGGGTTGAAACAGCTTATCTGGAGAGAGAGAGAGAGAGAGAGAGAGAGAGAGCTAGAGCGAGAGAGAGAGAGAGACGAGAGAGAGAGAGAGAGAGAGAGAG